TCATTCCTGAGTGGAAGGATGCAATTAAGGTAGAAATGGATGCCCTTCTGAAGAACAATACCTGGGAGCTAGTTGATCAACCTAAAGGGAAGAAACCAGTTGGATGTAGATGGGTGTTTACTGTTAAACATAATGTCGATGGTTCCATTAAAAGATTTAAGGCCTGATTAGTTGCAAAGGGATTTACTCAGACTTATGGTATAGATTACTTGGAGACTTTCGCACCAGTAGCAAAAATGACCACTATCAGAGTGTTATTATCTCTTGCAGCCAGTTACTCTTGGCCCTTGTTCCAAATGGATATTAAAAATGTTTTCCTCAATGGAGACTTGCAAGAAATGTACATACAGTTACTTCCTGGCTTTTATAGTACAAAGACAGGTAAGAAGGCTTGTTGGCTGAATAAAGCTTTGTATGGACTAAAATAGTCCCCCGAAGCTTGATTTGATAGATTCGAACAAGCCCTTGAAAAGTTTGGCTATATGCAGGCTCAATCAGATCACACTTTGTTTATTAAGAAAGTGGATACTTCATTGACTCTACTTGCTGTATATGYGGATGACATTGTAGTAACAGGAAGTGATAACACTGAAATTGAATCTCTTAAGAAACTTTTCCATCAACACTTTGAGGTAAAAGACCTGGGAGAGAGCTATGATATTTCTTGGGTATTGAGGTAGCTCGGTCCAAGCATGAAATCTTTGTTTCTTAAAGGAAGTATGTCCTTGATTTGTTAGAAGAAACAAGAAAGTTGGGTGTTAAGCCAGCCGATACACCTATTGAACAAAATCACAAGATTAGTACAGAAGGTAGAGAGCCTCTTGAAGATAAAGTTATGTTCCAAAGATTAGTTGGGAAACTACTCTATCTTTGTCTTACACGATCAAACATCAGCTATGCAGTCAGTGTTGTTAGTCAGTATATGCACTCTCCTAGAACTACCCACCTACTTGCTGTTGAGAGGATATTGGCATATTTAAAGAGGTGTCTAGGCAGAGGTGTACTATTTAAGGATAATAATCATATGAAGATAGAAGTTTACACAGATGCAGATTGGACCAGTTGTATTGATGATAGAAGGTCTACCTCTGGATATTGTGCCTTTGTAGGAGGTAACCTTGTTTCTTGGAGGAGTAAGAAACAAAATGTTGTTTYTCGTTCCAATGTTGAAGCTGAATATCGGTACATGGAAAATGGTGTGACAAGAATACTATGGTTGAAATCACAGTTTGATGAATTGGGTATTACCTATGAGAAACCTCTAATGTTCTACTGTGATAATCAGGTTGCTATTAATATAGCTCATCACCCGGTATAACATAATAGAACCAAGCACATTGAACTGGATCGACATTTTATTAGGGAAAGGGTTGCATCTCAAGAAGTTTGTCTTTCATATATCAGCTCCAACATGCAGCTTATCGATCCTCTCACCAAGGCAGTTTCAAAGAAGAAGTTAGAAGCAGATCTATGCAAGTTGGGAATGACAAACATCTATTCCCAACTTGAGGGGGAGTGTAGAAACCATTGATGTGGTCCCCACCTCTTTCTATTGTACTTGTATACAACTATTAGTTATTTAAGTCAGTCCACAATTAGTTATTAGTCTTTTATTAGGATTTTATTTTTGCCATGTAAGCAGTCTTATCCTTACTTCAGAATTAATATAAATAGAAATAATCCTCTTCTTTTCTAAAACCCTTCGTTTGAATTCTTCTTCTCTTCTTCTCTCTTTCTCCTCTCATTCTCTCCTCTTATCTTCTTAATTTCCTGTTGATTATACACCACAGCTTGGGCTGTTAGTAGTCTCATACGACTACATAAAGAAAGAGGGAAAAAATGGTAGGGTTGCTCTAATACCAAGTTGACAATAAATGTTGTAAAATAGTATGTTTAGTCAAAAGAAAACAATGGAAAATAGACCTGAAACAGAAAGGAAGAAGAAGAAGAGATGAGTGAGGGAATTCATGCTTCCCAATTTAATCATACTTGGGATCTTACTCCTCTCCCTCCTAGGAAGATGAGAGTTGGTTGTCAGTGGGTTTACACAGTTAAGAATTGGCTGAATGGTAGTGTGGAAAGGTACAAGGTGTGGTTGGTGGCAAAAGAGTATACCCAAACGTATGAAGTTGACAACATTGATACATTCTCTCCTGTTGCTAAGATGGGCTTCATATGTGTTATTATTTCTTTCCTTGGCTATTATTATTGGCTTTTACTTCAGTTGGATGTGAAGAATGCCTTCCTCCATGATGATCTTCAGTTGTATGTAGACTTAAGATAACAAACAGTTACCGTGAGCCTAGTTTGGTTGGTTCAAAAGTGTAATATAGCAGTTCAAATTATGGCAGTGTAGTGTTGAGCACTTGGTTTTTAGTTGAGATACACCTCCCATTAAGATTATATTTGGCTATATATGTTGATGATATTATTGTTACAGGAAGTGATATACAGAGGATCAAGGAGCTGAAATAGTTTTTAGAACAGCAGTTTCATACCACCAATGACTTGGGGCATTTGAGATATTTTCTAGGTATTGAGATAACAAGGTCGAAGTGGGGAATCTCCCTGTCACAAAGGAAGTATGTGCTTGATTTGTTAGAAGAGACAAGTTTATTAGGAGCAAAACCAATGGATACTCYTATCAAGCTGAATGCTAAGATATCTGATAGTGAAGGGGAGCTCTTTGGAAGATCCTGGCCTCACTATCACAAGGCCAAATATTTCCTCAAGTGTGGGGTTACTGAGCCAATTTGTGTAAAAACGAAGAACAAGCCATTGGGAAGGTATTGATAGAGTTCTTCATTATATTAGGTGTTGTACCCTTCTTGGAAAAAATCTAGTTGCTTGGAGGAGTAAAAAGTAGAGTATGGTTGCTAGGAGTAGTGCTGAAGTATAGGGCAATGGCACACCCAACTTGTCAATTAATCTGGTTATAGCAATTGAGGCAAAGAAACTAGTCTAAAAGTTTCATCTCCTATAAAATTGTTTTGTGATAATCAAGCAGCAATCCATATCTCTTTCAATCCCATGTTTCATGAAGAAAACAAGCACATAGAAGTGGATTGACACTTTGTCAAGGAAAAGACCACCAATGGAGAAATCGTTACACCTATGTGAGGTTAGTGGATTATCTAGCTTAACTCTTCACCAAGCATTTAAGTCAAGCAACAATCCATAGAAGTATGAGGAGTTTTATTTCTGTTATAATTAAGTGGCTTGTAAATTATAACTTCTGCTTAAGAGGGATGGTATTATAACTTCTGCTTTATTATAAAATTAATAAAAGAGGGGAGGAAATTGAGATTAGTTATGTTCAATATCTTCTGCTCTCCTGCCCTAGTTTCCTTTTCATCTGTACATCTGTTTTTCTCAGATCTAGATATCTTCTAGATATTTTTCTACCATTATTCTATTTATTTCTGGTCTGATCACAAAAGATTTAATTAAAAATTGGCAAACTTGAAGAAGGCATATCTGTCAAAGGGGGCAGAGGGTAAGGTGACCTTAAATCTAGTGCGTCATCCAATCTGCTAGTATATTCTGTCTCACTGTTCACAGTTCTCAGGTTGGTGATCAATTCTTTGGGGAAAGCCATAAGGGATTTCTTGTGGGATAAGGTAAATGATGAGAAAAAATTTCACCTAGGAGCATGGAACCAGGTCTGTTTGCCAAAAAAGGGAAGGTAGAGTGGGTATTAAACCAGGTCTGTTTTCCTAAGGCTTCATTACCAGAATACCAACTATGAATTCAGAATTCAGATACATCATACACCTGCTGCCCTTATTCCATAATGATCAAGCCACTTGAATTGTGAAGGAGATAAGACAACTCATTCAGGGTAGTAGTTCTTTGTGCTATTAACTCTGCCTTTTCTGCTATAGGCCTATCTGGTAATTGTACTTGTTCTAGAGTTCTTATGAAATTTTTAGTCATTGACTTGGGTGCTTCCAACCATATGATGGGGGCATCTGTTGGTAAAAATTCTCCCAAACATTTTCTTGAGATGGGGGGAAATTATCATAGCCAATGGAGAAAATCTAGAAACAATTTGTGCCAATAATTCGTCTCTTTCTACTTTGGTGTCTCACTCCAACCCCATTCATCATATTACTGTCTTTCTTGTAGTTGCTCCTAAATTAATGATCAATTCGATATCTGTTGGTTTAACTTGTTGATAATGGTCACAGTTTTACCATTGCACGAAGCCATTACCCCCATTGTTTGACCCCCTAAGCATACTCTTACAACAGTTTTTGACAATTTGAAGCCTAACTAATGCAACATGATCGGAGGTTTAGTAAAGTAGCTAAGAACAATTGAATAAGGATAAGGTTTAAGGAACAAAGGGGATAATGGGTTGAGACAACAGCCCTGAATTAGAGTCTTCAACTTATCACCTTAATAACCTTAAATTGAGATTGGAGTCACACAAATCATTTAGAGACATGAAACCTATGAGATAGTTGGAGTCACCACTAAAAAATAGTCCTAGAGAAATCAAATTCAATTTACTCGATTGACTCTTCACTGAAAATAAACTGATACACATCCATATATATAGCCTGAACTTTCTTGCTAGCTAGCATTAAAATGGGGCATTGTGTCGGCATGGTTCAGAAGGCACCACTTGATGGGCCAATCTATAAAGCCAATGATTTCCTTGAAAAAATGGATTATGCTTTAGTTGTTTGTTCAGAAGGAAATGCAAAGAATACCAATGTGGTACTTGATGTGGAAGACTGTTAAATCACTTTCTATAAATACTTGAAAGTTTTTTGGTTATGTCTAATTCAAGAGGATGTCTACTTATTGATCAGTGAGGTTGATACCTAGGTGAAGGATTTGTACAGTGTATTTTCAAGGAAAAAAATTTTTAGTCCATTAATGCAAATCTTTACCTCTGAAAAGATCAATGCCGCAAAACTATCAATTTTTCTAGAAAGTGCTTCCTATTTTTTGAGAAGGAACTTGAATACTAAATGTGAAGCATCACCAACCTTGATTAAGTCTTTCAAACTGTCACCTTCTTTTCACCTATTTGAACTTGGTAAGGCCATGGGTCAACTCTGCAGCTGAAATTTCTATTCCCAGTGGCAAAACCTTTAGATTAACTACACTGGATCTGCTCTTTCTGCAGAACAGTAAAGATATGTGAAGATCAATTACTCTTGTAAACTGAAACTAGTTCACAGTCAGCTAATATTAGAAAACCATGATGAGCTGAAACTGAATTTAATCATATCAAGGAGGATTTTTCCCAAACTAGAATTAATTTCGGATGACCAACCAGGATAATCATCAAAATAGCTGATTTTGATGAATATTCAGGACAACAAATGGTATCTGTTTGTATTAAATTAGAATTCAAGTTCAACCCAGTGAAGGTATTCTGAATTTTATCCAGTAAAGCTGGTTTAAATGTAATATGCTTACTAGAGAGTCGCAAATTGATGTCAAAATCATTTTTAGTTATCTTATTAATAATGCATGATATTCCGCTCATTCTTAGTTTAATTTATTGATGCAGCATTCAATATCCAAATTCATTCCAAGTCCAGTCTAAATCTAATGGATAAGATTCTATTTGAATCCGAAAATTAACAAATCAAACTAGGATCTAGGCATACCCAATTTGATTAGATCCATTTGCAGCTCTGGCTATTAACCAAGAGAATAGTAAACACATCCAAATTGATGTCCAGAATGAATAGTTCAGTGTAAAGTTAACAAGTGCCTTTTTAAAAAGATAATATACAGCAAGTATATAAACTATCTTTACTTGGCCAAGTAATACCAACCACCGTATCAACCCCCAAAGCACATTTAGTAGTACTATGTTCTTACAATCAAATGTTGCCCAAGAGGAGCTGTACGAAGTGGATGGAATGGATCTCTTCTCCTTTTGAATATCAGCATCCATCAAGTTGAACAGATCAGTAGCAACGCCAGCTTTTTGCCCAGGAATTCCAAACTTTTGTTCTGTTGTTTGTGGCACCTTGGGGGGAGGCAAGCCAGTCACCTTGTCCTTCATATCTAAAGAGGCCTGATTATAGACATCAGTAACCTGATTAAGATCCTAAATATTCATTTTTTCTTCAAATAATTGCTGAGTTTTTACATAAAAAACTAAAAGACTGAAAATGGAAAGGAAAATAAGAGAAATAAAACATAAAAGTTGTAACTTTTAATCAAACTTGAACTAAATTTCTGATTTGTTTTTATTTTTTCTTTCAGAAGTAATGAAAACAAATTCAACAATAAAAAAGCTCAATAAAAAAGTATGGAATGGACATCTAAAGAAAAGAAGTGAGTCCATCTAGAAATACAATAGACCCATGGTGGTGAAGGCCCAGTGYACATTTTTACCCAATTGATCCCTGACTTAACTAAGAATCTATTCATATAATACATCCTAATAGGGGATTGTAATGAAAGGAACCCAATTAAACACACTCAATGCCATTAGAGTCAGGTAAGACAGAGCTATTTTGGTGACTGGGCCACAGGTCAAATGATTCAACCATCCAGTTTAACTGTTTGACTTATTCACATCAGATAGAGAACCATTTTAGCTGCAGGTTCCAGTTTTGACGGTCCAACCATCTCGTCCAATCCAAGTCTGACAACACTGCACTTGATTTCATTCCTACTTTGTTTTTTACTTTTGGAAAAAGAAATTCACAAATAAATATTCTTCTTTCTTTCATTTTTTTAATCTCTTGTGGTCATTTTCCTTATTATATATTAAAAAATTGTCATAATTGAATAGGACATAAAGTTGTATATAAGATTAAAAACATAAACCATGAAACTTAACAAATTACTGAACATAATTATCAAACCTAAAACAGTTTCAAGATATTCTGATCCATACTCAATCTTGTATGAGGCAATTCATCTGCACATTCCTTGGTTGATGTAGGAGAAAAGTGTCATTACTATGTAGCAAAAACAGTGGTCATTAATGTGAAAATAGAACTCTGGTCAAAATTGAGGCCAAGTTTTTGTCTTTTTATTTTCCTTTTTTTATTTTTATAAGGGATCATGAACTCTATGTAAAAGGGTTTACACAGGGACCAAAAAAACCTCCCAAAAGAACCAAGTCTGAAGTTGGCTGTTATTCCATAGTTCAAAATGATCTTTATTATAGTACTTCCATATTCAGATATAAACACCATTGGACAAGTGCGAGAGTAGGTTATGAAAAGGTGATGTAGAATGATGTTAGACGCCAAAGAATGTGATACTAGAAGGATCAAGTGTTTTATAGAAAATTATGGAAATCTCAAGTTGCAGTTATTTAGAGCTGTTAGGTTTGGTTTACGGGTGATCTCAAGGGCTATTTTTGTCAGTATAAGTGTAAATTTTGGGAATTCTAGGGTTATGAGATATGAAACCTAGGATAAATTGAAACTAGTAACTTGTCATAGAGACATGTTCTAGGAGGGAGGATTTTGAAAGAAGAATGTTCCTTCAATTGGAAAAGATATACCCGGTGAAAGAAGGTTAATTTCAAAGGGGAGTTCTGTTCTTTTGTCTGTTTCTGGGTGTAGGTCTGCTCCGGAGTCTTTAGGGAAGATGGCTGGGCTATGTATTTTCTTGATTTGTAATTGTTTGCTATGGCTGGGAGTGGGACAGGAAGGTTAGTGTTTGGACTTTGGGGTTTTGACCCTTTTGGGTGGCTTTTCTTTTTCACCTTGTTGTTTATCTTCTCTCTTAATAAAATTTTCTTTTATCTATTACCAAAAAAATAGAGGCATGCATTTTAATTATGGATTTTAGGTTATTGAGGCAAATAAAAAGTAATGTGCAGATTCATTTCTTGATTCCCTGGCTAGTTGTCACCCTCAAAGTCCTGAAAGAGCTCCATAATAGTCCCATGGGGTCCATGCAATCATATTGAAATTTCTCCCCTATCTTGTCAAACTGAAGTTTGTCAAAGGGCAAATTTGTAGGATGCCCCACTGTCTCTTCATCAGATATCTTTGGTCCAATACCCTTTAGGGTACTGGTTCAGTGTCATCAACTATATGTTCAATATTGTATTGCTGAATTCTATTTTGCTACACCATCATGAGTTTTTTTGGAGGACATGCAAACTTACTAATAACTACTAGCAACATGATTGAGTCAGATGCTTGCATGCTAAATAATGTGAACAACATTGTTAACCATTGTCTACAAATTTTGTGAAAGATGAATATTTGTATTAAAAATCCCCTCCTTTTACTTCTAATGAATAGTTTCATCAAAACATTTGTTAAAAAAGAAAAAAAGAAGACAGCATGAATTTTTTTTAATCCTCGTTGAGTATTAAAAGAGTTTCTAATAACTAATTGATCACAACCTTGAAAGGGAAAAATTTTCCCCAAAAGCATATTGCCATAGCTTTACAATTTCATGAAAGCTAAATAAATTTCCCCCAAAAATATTTCCAATTTGATGATACTCAAAATGAAGCCTTCCTAAAATACAAAACCCATTATAAATATCCATATAACATTTTCATAACAAAAATGCAGAACTTTAGAAGAACGTAGGAACAACTAGACAAAAATATCCTTTTTATAAAGAAGAATAGACAGTATCTTTCCATAAAAAGAAACTGATAATAAAGGAGGTTCTCTTCAAAATCTCAAAGGAAACAACAAACTAATATTAAATAATTCCATCACTTGGATCTTAAAAGTTTCACATTTGAAGCAACTTTTGTCCCTTACTATCTCTTAAATGTTTTTCAGCCCAAAAAGTTTCTAGATACTTATCCTATCACTTGGTAAAATTTATCCTAGATTTCCAACATCACCGTAATGCTTCCCTAGTTTCCATACTGGAAACTTCCTTTTTTTTGGATCACTTACTGGAAACTTCCTGCAAATTAATTTCCTTTCTACTAGAACTCAAGTGAACTCTTAAAATGAAATCAATTTTAGAAGATCTTCAGTTCATTCTGAAACAAAGTTTGAAGCCTTTCAAAACACCTATTAACTGCATTAATGCATTTAATTGTCAAGCCTACAGTTACAACAAAATTAATAGCAGAAAATATTTACTATGTGTGTTGACTTGGAAAGAATTTAACTAATTTAGATAAAGCCAAGAATCAGAAAGTATCAACATTACCCAACGAGGTCTTGTTGCTGAAGGTGGAGCCTGTAGGATCTGATTAGTGGGAATATCTCCATCAGAAAATGTTTTTGAGTGGTTGGATTTGCCATTATTTCCTCGATCTTCTATTCCCTTGTTAGAACAAGAGTTCTTTCCTTCTGATTCCATAGTTGGCTGTTCTGTTTGCTTTGAAACCCATCTTTTCTCGTCATACCTGAGAAGCGGGTATATTAGAATTTTCCTATAACTTCAGGTGAAATTTCTAATAAAATTTTGTGCCAACCTACTTTGCCCGTATGAAACTTTCAATGTCACTTCTGTCGTAATCCGGTGGCAACTCTGCTTCCCAATAACTGTTGGACTTTTCATTACTCATAGCTACAGAATAAGTTCACAAATTAAGAACTAACAACAAGGTGGTAGCTTAGTGGTGCAGCATGTATAATATTAATTTAAAATTTGACTTAAAAACAAAGCAAAGCAAGTTATAATGAGGTTTAGTTATAAGCCACCAACAACACACCCTACATATATAAGGGAGATAACAAATCAACATGGAGATTCCCGCTTTGTGGTTGAGCATTAGATGCAATCTATCAACAGCACACCCAGGAAGAAGGGGAGGTGATATCCACCACCTGATGGGTCTCCATGGAGATCTCCTACTTCAAGGTGAAGATACAAGCACAAAGCCAGTAGAGGTTCCCTTATCGAATGACGAGAAAAACTGGAGTTCAAGGAATCATTATTCTGGGGATAGACATGGATGTATGGTGGAAGTGAAGGTTAAATATCTTGATCATGATGATCTATTTTTGTGATATGAAAAAGATAAAGAAGGCTTATCTGACATGTCCAGAGTGAAGGAGACAGTCAAGGACTGGAGTTGTTGAGAAACGAGGGGTAGAAGATGGAGTGAGAATTCAACATAAGGAAAGAGTATAAGGCAGAGTTAGTTAGGACCAGGTTTAGGTAATAGGATGTTTTCTTGTTCTTTGGCACAAAAGGAGTCTAGAATTTCCATTTTTGGATAGGAGCTTTCATATTAGTCCTGTAGCTAGTGGTTGTGACTTTGAAATGGTTGGAAACAGAAATTTGTTGTGAAAATTATTAGAACTAACATTAGAAGGACAGATGTGTTAAAGAAAACAACTCTTTCTGACCTAGGGAAGGGAGTTGGAGTTTTAAAGGGGTTCATTTGATGTGTTTGGAAGAGGTGATTTGTGGATTGTAGTAGCAATCATATTCTGACTTATTGGATTCTAGTGAAGAATGCAGTTTCCTTGTTTGGTTGTTCAGCTTTCCATAAGGTGTAGGCTTTGGGTTCTTTTTCCTTTTGGTCAGTTCGTTTCTTTGGGCATAGTTGGATGTTAATGTTGCTATGTTACTTGGCTGTGGTTGAGTTATATTTTGTATATCCTCTTTCCACCATAATGTCTTATCACGTACTATTGTACTTTCCATTTTATTTTAATGAATTTTGTTTTACAATCAAAAGAAGACCCCCTACTTCAAAAATTAAATTATGTTGGTAAATCTGTTGCAGATTGGGTTTTGGTGATGCCTGAATTTGCACAAGTCAATAAAGATAACCCTGGGGTCTATGGGAGGTGTTGGGATTGCAAAGTTGTAATTTGGACAATTGGTTATGTTTTGTTTTGTTTTTTGTTTTTTCTGTTGTTTGAGTTGATTCTAGGTGTTGCCTTAAAAACTTCTCAGTTTGTAATTTTCTTTTTCCTTTCAACGAAATTTTCCTTTTACTTGTCAAAAAAAATTAAATTATGTTCCCTACAAACTTTTCTTAGGATTTACCTCCTCTTTTTATCTATAAACTGGAAAATTGCAACAGCTTAGATGGCTGCAGTCTTTTAGTGTAAGTCAACTTTAATATGGGAAATCTCTTAGGTTAGACTACTATCCTATTAACATTAACGAGCATTCTGAAGCTCTATGCAAAGAGATTACAAGAAAATGATGGTAAGTTATTCTTACATTTCATAAACGTGACTTGCTCAGGCAGCCAAGTATCCAATGTAGCTGACCGTACCTATGGTGCAAAGTCAAGGAGTCAATCTATTAATACTACTAAAACATAGATAAATCTTACAAATTTCTAATGGACCATGAATAAACTAGTAACCAGGGAAAATGTGTGAAGGGAAAAGCAAAATTTTATTTATTTGTATCCTACGTATATTAGTATTATGATAGGTTGTTCAACATGTCATCTTATTTATTTGAAATTGTAATTTTCTTATACATGGGGGCAGATATAACTTTGTACACTTTTTAAATCACAATTTATATACATCACTGGGACTTGTCAATGGACTGGTAATGGTTAATCAATCCCTAAAACACAACTCCGTGTTTTTGTCTTCTTTTCCTCTTATACAATTTAGTTTTTAGAATTCTACTTGATTCAATATATCATGGTATGACAGTCCTAGGATTAAAACCTTGTTATGATCAATGTTTTAAAATGTGGAGGCATGACGCAAGGCATTCCACTACCTAGAGGTGTGAGGCCTAGTTCAGAATGTAAGAGTTGTAAGCCTCCCAAACACAAGGAGGCATAAGCCTCCTTAAGAGGGGGGATGAGGAGGAAGAAGAAAGAGGGGGGGGGGGGGGGAGGAAGAAGAAGAAGAAGAAAGAGGAAGGGGAGGAGCAGTGTTTAAAAGTGCAAGGCGCAAGGTGAGGCGTGCACCTTTTTGGAGCAAGGCGCAAAATTACAAAAAAATGCTAAAAATAAAAAAACTCAGAAAATTCAAAAAAAATGCAAAAAATGTGAAGGTATTTTGTTTTGCATGTTTTTGTAGTGGGACCACAAATTGTTGTTTTTGGGTAGCTTTGTTGACTGTTTGGGACCAGGGGTATATTTGCCAGTTTATAATTCAGGTTCTAGTCAGGGGCAATTGGGTGCAAATCTATTGGGTTTTGGTTTCGGTCTTTTGGTTCTTTCTCTCTTGTTTGAGTTGTAGCTAAGCCCCAACTAGGGTTTTCAAGTATTGTGAGTTTGGGTTTTGAGGAGTTAACCTATTTTGGCACCTTCAAATCCCTCTATCATTGCATGTCTGCATAGGAGGCTAGTTTGATGCCATTGTTGCTATAGTGGAACTGTTCCAGGAGGTGTTCTACTTCAGGTTCAGGTCTGAAATCCCTAAAAACCCAACTTGTTTTGTTGCTTTCAGCTTGGTACATAGTTGTCAAAGCGCCAAGGCGAAGCTAGGCGACAAGGAGGAGCCTAGGCGATGGATTTTTTTATGTAAAAAACATAGATCCTAGGGTAGTTCCCTAGGTACCATAACCATATTTCCTTAATAATCATTCATACTTTTCATAAGAAAAGTATAGAGTTCATGTTAAAGTACAGAAAATCAACATATTCTTGAGCAGAAAAAGAAGGAAAAGAAAATTCAAAAAATATAGGGGCTGAACCCTTATTTTTCTTATAGGAAAAGAAGAAAAGAAAATAGTAGTAGTACTTGTTGATTAGACAAACAAGTTCTTCCTTATTGGTTCTGGTTTTAAAGTTATTGGGGGTTTAATACAGCATTTATCAATGTATATATTGATTAAACCCTAACAAATAAGAAATAATAAAAAGAAATCAGTATATAAACACACAAAATGAATATAAACTGCTTGGAAATTAGGCGAGGAGCGTCTTGTTGCCTAGGCGTTGCCTTGACAACTATGGCTTGGTATTCTTGTGCTTATTTTTTGTCCACATCAAGTTGTATTAGAGCAAGCTCTTTGGGTTTGCTTCAAAGTTCATCTCCTTGTTGTGTTTTGCTATATGGCTGCAAGGGGTGGACATGGTAGGGGTGCTTGAAGACCACAACATGTCACAGTAGAGGTTTTCCAAGAGGCTATAAGAGGTCTGCAAGAATGGATTAAACATCTTGCTCACCTTGTAGCTCAAACTGCTGCTAGGGATGGTGACGTAGCAAGTGATTTGGGGCTAGGAAGATAAACAAGCACCTAGAGTTGATGAACAACCCACTGACATTATTAGTGAAGAATCAAGGGAAGAAGACATTGAACAACCCAAAGGTGATCAACATGAAAGAAATAACAACCAACGATGGGAAGACCGAATAGTGCAAGCTTTACAATTCAATCAAGGCCATGGTGTTCAACTTCATAACAATGAGCTTGATGGTGAGTTGGAACCTGAAGAGTTTCTAGATTGGTTGGACAGCATTGAAAATTATTTTGATTGGAAGGAAATGAATGAAGAAAGGACAGTGAAGTTTATAACAACAAAAATGCGTGGGACAGCCATGGATTGGTGGAAAAGTTATCAAAGGAACAAAGAAAGGAAGGGGAAAAGAAAGGTTAGTTCTTAAGGAAGAGATGTTATTCAGTCCAATAAAAGAACAGTAAAATATTTCAGATTATAGGAGAAAAGAAGAAGAAGAAGAAGAAGAAAATGATGGAGAAGAAGGGAGAAAGGAGTTTGAATGATCTCCTCTCTCCCCACACTAATTCTTTTATTAATCTTCATGAACTGGGTTAATTACAAGTTTGCCCTTATATGGGCAGCCAGCTAAGCAAGAACTTATAAAAGAGGTTAACAGGCCCATTAACATACAAAAAAATATAACACACTACTTAAACATAAAAACAGATACTAGGGCCCATTCGTCTCAGTCTCTCTACACTCCCCGTTAAGCTGAGCATAGATGTCAAATGTCAATCATGCCCAACTTGCTTATATAGTGTGTCAACTTCCCTTTTGGAATACCTTTGGTCAAAACATTAGCCAACTACTCTTCTGAAGAGATAAATGGCAAGCAAACCTTCCCTAAAGCAACTCTCTCCTGTATAAAATATCTATCAAGTATCAATTCTATGTGCTTAATTTTGTCATGTTGAACAAGATTATGTACAATGTTGATAGCTGTCTGGTTATCACAATAGAGCATCATTGGCTTCACATAGTCAATACCCAACTCTTCCAAAAGAGATCTTAGCCACAATAATTATGGCACTCCATGTGCCATTGCCCTGTACTCTGCTTTAGCTAAGGATCTGGCTACTATAGACTAATTCTTACTCTTCCATGAGACAGTGTTCCCTGCCACCGAAGCACAATATCCTGAGGTTGATTTCCTTTCCCTGGAGTGCCTTTCAAGTAACACAAAACTCTTTCTGCAACGGCCAAATGTGTATCTCTAGGAGAATGCATACACTGACTAATTACACTCATTGCATAGGAAATATCTAGCCGAGTCATGCAGAGATATAGACAATAGTTCACCATTAGTAGCAAAGAGCTCATGATTAAGGTCCATAAGGGTGAAAGCCAGTTTAGCACCAAGTTTACCAGTCTCTGCAAGGAGGTCAAGAACATATGTTGAGAAATGAATATACCATCCTTAAATCTAGCAACTTCAATTCCCAAGAAATATCTGAGATCTCCCAAATCCTTGATCTCAAATTCAGAGTTAAGAAATCTTTTGAGCTTAATCACCTCTTGGGTGTCATTACTTGTAACTACAATTTCATCAACATAAACAATTAGAAAAGTCACCAAGGAGTTGCTTCTTTTCAAAAACAAAGTATGGTCAGATTGAGTTGGTGTGTAACCAAAAGAGACAAGGGCAACTCTGAATCTCTCAAACCATGCTCGAGGAGATAGTTTGAAACCATAAATGGATTTCTACAGTTTACACACCTTCCCTTGCATTTCCTTTCCATACACCCTTGGATGAAAAGACATATAGACCTCTTCATGTAGGTCTCCATTCAAGAAAGAATTTTTAACATCAAACTGGTGGAGGGGCCAATCAAAAGTAGTAGCTAAGACAACAAAACTCGAATTGAAGTCATCTTAGCCACAGAAGCAAAAGTCTCAAGGTAATCAATACCATACATCTAAGTGTAGCCTTTAGGCTGCGTTTGGTTGGAGTACAAATATGAACCGTTGCCAATTGCATTCCGGTTCAGATTTGCATTCGTTTGGTAAGAGTTCAAAAATATGCCTATTTTTTATGCAAAAAATGTGTATAGACCAAGGTTTGCATAAAAAATAGGTGAAAATATTGCTTTATAAAAAAACAAAGGAAATTTTGCCACGATTTTGGTCGAAGTAAATAAGCATAGGTTTCAACTGTTTTCTCTTCGAGTGTTCGATAGAGAAGAGAAAGGTTCTGCGATAGAGGTAAGAGAGATCTGAACTCCAAATCCATCCATCTGTCGAGGTAATGAGAGATCTGAACTCATTTTCATTTTCTTTTCACTTTTAGGTCACTTCCCTCGTCAGAAGAGAGATCTGAACTCCAAATCCATCGATTTTCCTTTTCCTGAGAGGTATGTTTGMTATTTCTTCATCCTATAGGTTTTCTTGAATCTTCCTTCATTTTCCTCTTGAATCTTTAATCTATTCGGTTCATTAAGTCTTCCTTCATTTTTGGTTCCTTGGGACGTTATCTTATTATGGGTTCTCAGGGAATAAGTACGTGGAAAAAAATGCAGAGAGGTAGAGGTGATTTCTTTGGTTTTGGCGATCCTTTTGCTGAATTTGGTGGTTTTGGTGGCTTTGGTAGCCACAGGAGTCTAATCTCTAGTTTGGGGGAAGGGACCCTTTCGATGATCCTTTCTTCACTAGTCCATTCCAAAGCATGTTTGAATCTAGTATGATAGGACCAAGCATGTTTGGGTCAAGTTCAAGGTACATCCAGATGGATTCTTGGAGCATCAAGCTCCATAATCCAGTAAATCAAAGGGGTCGATTATCAAAGAGATAACATCTGAAGATGAGAACGAAGAAGAACAAGGAGCCAAAGCCAAAGAGAAGACTGAAAACCCTAGGAAGCATTCTAGGTCAAAGGAACCATATGTTGAGGATCCAAATGATGAATCTCAAGGTTAAGTCCTTGCTGTAATTGCATACTGAAACTATATATATACTCTTGTAGTTGCTATTATATTCTTGTAGTTGCTATTATATTCATATTCTTGTAGTTGCTATTGTATATACTGTTGAAGTAGAGATTCATTGTGTTTTATCTTTCAGAGAGGAAGAGCAAGCATGTTCAG